TCCACCCACCTCCCTCCCTCCCTCCCCACCTACCTACCCATCCATCCATCCATCCATTCATCCCTATCATCCACCTACCTACCTACCTACCTACCCCTATTATCCATCCATCTATAAATTTATATGCTTCTCATTGCTGTATTAGGTGACTCTGAGTGGCTTACTCACATGAAAAAAATAACAATATAAAATATAAAACATTAAAACACTATTAAAATTAAAATTAACAAAAAAAATAGCTAAGGAAAGGATCAATATATAACAGGGTAGAGGGGGAGTCTTCTTTTAATCCGCTAATGGCCCAATCAGGGCCCAATCAGGCCGATTGGCAGAGCCAGCTTTACAGGCCTTTCCGGAAGGCCAAGAGGGCGGGAGGAGCGGGTCCTGCCTCAAGGGACCATGTTCCAGAGGGCGGGAGCCACAGCCAAAAAGGCTCTTCTCTTGGACCCCACCAGCTGGAATTCCTGGACTGACGGGGCCCAGAGCTTGCCCCTCCTGCTGGTGTAAGCGGGAGGGGTCAGACCCATAGCGGTGATACGGTTCCTCTCTTGCCTGGAGCTCACCCTCTCTGGCGGTCTCCGCCTCCCATTTAGGTTTTGCTATGGGTGTAAAATCGACTGCACCGAAGAGCGAGCGCTGATGGGGAACGCAAACCTTGCTGTCGACTGGGACCCCACCGCGCTTCATCTCCGCTACCAGACCTCACAAGAACGGGTAAAGACACCAAAGCCTGCGGTGTAGTCCCAGGCCTTTTTCTTCTTACGGTGGCGCACAGATAGTCCTCGACTTAACAACCACAACCGAGCCCAGAATTCCCATTGCTAAGCCAGACAGGTGTTAATTTTGCCCCACTTTACAACCTTTCTGGCCGCAGATCTTAAATGAATCCCTGCAGCTGTTAGTAACATGGTTGTTAAGCGAATCAGGCTCCCTTATTGACGTGGTTTGTCAGAAGATTGCAAAAGAAGAATCACGTGACCCCAGGACCCTCCGACCTTCTTAAATACATTCCGGTTGCGAAGCATCTGAATTTTGATCACGTGACCCAAGGAATGCTGCGACTGTCGTAAGTGTAAAAAACAGCCATAAGTTCCTTTTTTTTTTCCAGTTCCGTTGTAACTTTGAAAAGTCGCTAAACGAATGGTTATAAGTCAAGGACTTCCTGTATAGGTTTGCTTTGCTTTGCTGGGCTCAAATGCAGAGACCACACACTGAAATCCAGTTTGTGTCCAGTCCTTTATTGCAGGGGTAGACAACCTCGGCCCTTTTATGACTCGTGGACTTCAACTCCCAGAATTCCTGAGTCAGCATGGAAACCTCTCCCTTTCCCCTCAGCGTGGCTGGCTCAGGAATTCTGGGAGTTGAAGTCCACGAGTCATAAAAGAGCCCAGGTTGCCTACCCTGATGGAATCTTGCTGTAACTTTTAGATATATCCTGAGAGATTTTCTCTCTCTCTCTCCAACTTGGCAACTTTATGACTTGTGGACTTCAACTCTCAGAATTCCTCAGCCAGAATGGAATTGAAGTCCACAAGTCATAAATAAATGTCTATGGAGATTCTCAGTCATCCAGCTCATGGTTGTCCCAAAGGTGCTTTTTCATGAAGCAACTGGACTTTCTTTGTTTTTCCTTGAAGATGTTTCGCTTCTCATCCAAGAAGCTTCTTCAACTCTGACTGGATGGTGGAAGGATTTATACTCTTGCAGGCAGCTGGTCATTTGCCTTCTTTTAGAGAGTCGTCGTGAGGCAGAGATGGAGAGAGGGATGGAAAAATACTATAAACAAATATTTTAATTAACAGGAGTGATGTTTAGCAAGCATTAACTAATATTATAAACTGGCTGTGTGTGATGACCTGTGTGCAATTATATGAAG